TCTAGCCCTGCACAGGGTGACCAGGGTGGTGGCCTTCTGTGAATTTCTAGCCTGGTATTCATGTCACTAGCACAGCAGAGAATGGGAATGATCGCCTCAGCTGTTACAGCAGGTTACACAGGCGTTTGTACAAAAAGCAGAGGGCTTGCAACTTTACTTTAATAATATACACTTCCATCATAAACCAGCTGTCATTCTGAATTAAGTATAGAATCAGTTTTATCTGTCAGGGACTATTGTGACTTTTGAATCAGCAATGATTTTAAGTGCAATGTAATTTAAAAAAAAAAGACAAGAAAAAGGGAGACAAAAGCAGATGCATGTGTCAAAATATTTCTGGCAACAGTGTCTTTTATGAAGACAGTATTCCTTGTACATCTATTTGACTACTCATCCTTATAACATCGCTAACGTTGCACGCCCTAAGTAGTAGTGTATTACAAGATGAAAACATAGGGGTTCAAGAAGGCATACCACAAATCCAGAGCTAAAGCTGTAAAATGTCATGGGACACATACACGGGGACAAGAATCATCAGTTTCTTCAGAAATTAAACTATTCATAACAGTTATCTATGCTTATAAAAAATGAATGAATAAAGGAAATGCAGAAATGTAATAAGATCAACTTGCCTAAACTTTAAGCAACTCTTCAACTTCAGATGTAATCGTAGGAGGAGCGCAGAAAATGGTTATGGTTACTATAATGCAAATATGAAAAACAACATGAACTTCTAGCCAAAAAGCTAACTCATAAAATCAGGCAGCATTAGCAAATGTCACCAAGGGTAAAGAAAACAGCATTGTGTACATTTATTAATAAATCTAGTCAAGAGTACAAGTAGTGCTGATCTGTTACTCAGAGTCAAAACTATAGGCAATGTATACCAGAAGGCCATACCAGACCTTCATCTGTATCAGTTTTGACCAAAAAACCCCAGCCAACCAAACATAAGAAACATACAAACAAGTCACTAGCATAGTAAGTACCAAGGCCAACAAAAGCAAGCTCTCTAGATGATTTCAAACTAAATGTTTGAGTAGCTTGGGCCTGCTGCATTTTGACCTAGGACAGTTGAGCCAGATCACCGCCTCTTCAAATCATTAACTCTTATTTTTGAGAGACGACAGGAGAAAGAAGAATTGATACAGTGCCTAGAGCCCAGGAAACGGGCAGAGGAAAGCCAGGGAATCCAATAATGCCATTTCATTTCAGTCTAATTATTTTATTCAAGAACGTTTAAAATCTTAACCACACTGGCAATAACAAGAATACAAACAATGAGACTGTCAAATCAGCTCAACTTCCATTTAGCAACGGTAACAGCTGTGCGGGTGGTCAAGAAGTTGTACATGTCACAGTCTGACATAAGCAAGTTTGGGAAATAACCTGGGATAGAAAAGTTGGAAAATAAGCAGTTGTAAGCATTTCACACAATACTTTCTCCTGTTTGAAAAATGGAATCACCAAAGGATCAGGTTCTAGTCAGTATTTTAATTACCTGGGTGACAGAATAAAGAGATTCTTAGTGAATTTTTGACAGCACAGAAGAGGCAGTACTGGGGAGATCAGAACTGGAATTCAAAATGATTTTGAAAACTTTGAGAAGGAGTAAGAAAGAAGCGGGGTGAAATTCAGTATGGCAAAATAGAAGCTGCTTACCTAGGTTGCAATAATCTATGGAGAATGGTAAACAGGAGACAAGATAACAGCTGGTCACAAACAGAATGTGGAGAAGAAATATTAGGAGAAAAGCAGTCATCATCCTGGAACACACAGCAATGAGCAACTTACGTGCCCTAATCCTCCTGCTGAGCATCAGTAAAGGCTTGCTAAAACTGAGTTTTATGCTTCAAGAAGATGGGCAAAGAAAACGGCATGGAAACAATTAGACATTTAGAAAACATGACTTGGTATGAAAAACTCGATGAATTGGATTTGTTTGGCAGGGAGGAGAAGACTGGGGATTTTCTTTTGTTGGAATTTCCCCCCCCCCCAAGAAAGTGCCAGATTTCCTATGAACTCTGTAAAAATGTCTACTATTGGAGACATTTAAGAACAGATCAGTCAAATATATCTGCTAGCAGTAGCTAAGATATTTCATTGTGCCTTGGGGTGAAAAGCAGACTAGAGAATGCCCGAGTACTTTTCAGATTTATCTTTATATGAACACAAACCCATATTTCCAGTGAGTAGCTAGAATTTCAAAACATCTAGGTTCCAGTATTTCATTTAATTGCAGAGCTTGAAATATTTCTAAAAGGTCTTGAAGATGCTATAGCAGTAGACTATTTCTTTACTCCACAAGCTGAAATACTAACAACTTCCAATAATAAACAGACATCCTTTAGACATTCTGTGAAGTTTACACTAGGAGGATATTTTTCATCTATATTTCTCCCTCCTCCTACAGCAGGTCAAATATAATAAATTTCAAATTTTATTTTGCAGTGTAGTTACTTGTTCCAGCACACAATAATATGTGACCAGCCCCAATTTGCATTGGTTAGACAGGTCAGGGAAAAGGATTTAGAAAAAGATTAAACAAGAAGGGGAAAAGGAGTGGAAGTCGATAGCCAGTCTTCTTGCAGTACTTTTGAGACACAACTTTAACATTTTAGTGATATTTCTCCCTTTGAGAACCTCTTGATGAAAAATGTTTTGCATCATTAGTTCCAGTTTGGATTTCTTAAGATATGTTGCATTGAAACTAGTAACAAGCGCCCCATGATCATCCTACCTTGTAGGCTAAATGCTTTAGGGTCAGAGACAATATATATTGCAAATACAGTTCTCCGCAAAAGCATCCACATAGAGCTCTATGTTGTTCTCTGTTCAAGATAGGTCACTTTTAAGCAAGATGTTAAGACCAGTTTATTTCACATGCTAATTTCATACAACATTTCAGATTTAAATTGAACCTGTGCAGTCTCAAAGGCACTGATTCAGCATACTACATGTTCCTGCTGTAGCTATAGCTGCATTCTCTTCCCGTAAAGAGATCCCATGAATTTCCTCAGCATGGCAATATCTAAGGTACTCAAAAAACAGCAAGAAGCAGTAAGGATGGATCCAAGGTCAGAAGGGCTCAGCAGCAAAGTCACAAATGCAAGCCAGCGCACAACCAGTAGAAAGAAGCATTCAAACTTGCAAGTCAGGCTACAGCAACAGCTTCAGTTGAGAGCAGCAGACTAAAACTGTCCTCAGTTTTCCATATGCTTTGTCAGCCCCACGCAGCCTCATGCCAGCTGAAGTCAGCCAGGGGCGCAGGTCTGACATTCTCAAAGGGAAGACTCGAAAGCCCAGATCCTCCGCTGGAACTTCCTATTTTCAACTCTACATTTTTCCAGCCGCACTTACAAATAGCTGCTCAAGCATTCACAGTAACACAAGATGAATCCTCCTGCTTCCTATTTTCATAGGGAAATGGGAAAATTGCTCCCCATTTACTTTAATCCTGCACTGACTTTGGAACCAGACAGCAGGGGGTGTTTCATAAATAACCTTAGACTTACTTTGTTTCAGGCAACCTGAAGCTACTTAGCCCTTCAAATTAGAGTGAATAATTACTTTTCTTTAAAGTGACTTGATGTAAGTCAAGTTGCATTTTAAAACAAGACAAGTGAACAGTATTTTAAATTGCCAAATTATGTTAAGATCTAGATTAGCATTATTTAGTGTTTAACTGGTAAAACTTCAGCAGTAAGGTTGTCCTACTTGCATATCAGACCAAACAAATGAACAAAAACCAGTCTGTCTACGGCTATACAGGCAGTTTTGTATCAGGCATTGTATCTGCCTGATACAATGAGCTAGCTTAGGTACTGAATACAACGCACTGAATTCAGTATTACACCCAGAGTATTTCACTAAGAAGTTAAGTATGTTAGAATAAAACGTAAAGTCAGTCAAGTTCCACAACACCCGTGTCTTTAGAGTTTTTTGTGAAAAAATTGTGGCAGGACAATATTAGCCTAGACAAACCACCGTGCCAGTGCAAATAGATTGCTTTTGCTACTCAGATTAGCTCAGACATCTGTGAGTAGCACTTGAAACAGTGCCAGTATTTCATTTACGGAACTTGAATAATTCAGAGCTTGCCATTAAAATTATGTTCTCAAAAGCCATCATCTTTCCATGGTGGCAGGGAGAACATTACCTTTTCCACTTTAACCAGGACAGTTAAGAAATTTCACAAAGTAGAGACACTAACTCATAGTTGGGAGAGAAAGAAAGGACATGGACACACACCTTCAAAAGTACGATTTCCTTCTGATGCAAGTAAAGTTTAGGTGTGCAGATGGGATCTACCAGTCTTAAATCCTTGAAGGAAACTAGTCTGTGAAGACAAAAATCAGTTGAATTGATAGTATGCACTAGCCTTTGTCCATCAAATCAGTGTATCACAACATGCTTTGCAACTAAGTCTTAGCACATTAACAGTTTAAAACACAGCAGACTTTTGTGCATTTGACTGAATTCCAATCTCTGTTCATATGCAGTTTGATACAGGTCAGTTAAAATACTGAACTAGATTTTACTTTAAAAATGCAGACTCTGTTTAAGTATTGCATATTTGTTACCATCCTGCTTAAGAAAACTGCAAGATAAAACCACTGGAAAAAAGAGAAGCTGAAGCAGTAAAAATTCAAAATGTTAAAGCAGATGCAAATTTAGGTTCTCCACTCGCCAACTTAAATCACAGTTAAAAAAAAAAAATCTATCCTATACATCCACCATTTCCTTCACCATGCAGGTGTGCACCCTCACCCTCAGGAGCAGCACTGTTTTGCATATACTTACTTTAAAGAAGTACCTATTTGGGGTGTTTGAAGACACATCTAAGCCCATTAAAGGATTTTTAAGATCAATTGAGACAGATATGAACACTCCTGAGTTTGGTGTAGTGTACCTAAGTATACCAGGGACCTTCTCTTAATTTTAAGATTCAAGTTAAGCACTTCACAAATGATCACAGTTCAGCCATAAACACAGCAACATTTTTGCTTAGCATGCTACAGCAGAAACTTTATTCAGCTCATTTTGAAAATATTTGCAACCAAAATTTATTTTTGTAAACTCACAGAAATAAGCTTTAACATATAGGCTGTATACAACTCAAATACAGGTAATACTTTTAGCAATAACTTACAGGTACAAACTAATGATAAACTACAATTTCACAAAGAATTGTAAACATTTTGCACAATTGTCAGTCCTTTCTTTTAGGCAAAGTGCTCTTTTGATGACAAATAAATTAACACACACATAACTAGAGTGGACTACTTCCAGACAATACAAAAAAGTGTTTAATAAGGCTTGTAAACAATGTAATAGTTATTTATGCAGAATCCATAAAAGTGTCTTGCAGGCTAAATATACTTACATACCTGGGCAGCAAAAATGATCTTGAAAATGCTTTAGATGTTAAATAAAAAGTTAACATTAATATCTTTCCAATGATATTTTTAATACACAATAAATGACTTAAGGTTACATCCTTAATAGTTTATATCCCTGACAGAAAAGAATTAGGTGTGACTTATTGGCAGCTGTGTCATTGAATGGGGTAGCAAAGGCTGGAGTCCAAGAGCTGTAGGTGAATGAGCTACAAAAACAGAAATATTTGCTGGTCAACTTCATCGGAGGTAGAAAAAGATTATAAGCTAATAATAACAGTTCACTGGTCCCAACCACCGCAGCATGCTCTGGTTTCCCTAGCCCAGCATTCACACTCCTCCACCCACAGCCCACCTTACACCGCTGCTTTGGAGAAAAGTAAGCTCAGGCCACACATGCGGCTCAGAGTCTAGTTCTCCCAAAGCCTTCACCATCTCTCCTAATCACAAATACGAGCCAAAGTTGTTGACTTGCTGGGTCTCATAAGACATGCAATGACTGAAACATACTTTTGACCACCAGGCTCCCCCCACCATGCGTTACTGTGAGGGAAGCTTAGGTTTTCAGCAAAGTTGCTGCACTGAATATACCTACAATCCTTGGGGTAAGAGTCAGGGAGTGGGTGGTAAACAGTTTTCATTAAAATTACATATTAATAAAAACGTGGCATGAGTGTTTAAAAAAGTGTTTGACTTCCTATTACTAGTATTCATAGTCTGGAGGAGGCACAAAAAGTGGTCTTCGTACCCAGATCTTCAGCTATGCTCTTACAGTGAAGGGCTACTGCTTGAAGAGGCACACTTCTTAATGAGGTGTAGGGAGCTAGTACAGTATTAAGATATTCTATAAAGAATACTACAAATTAAAAATCCATTAAGTTTCTTTAATTGGTACTTGGTAAACTGTTCTTGCTACAGTCAATAATGATTCTACTTGGATATGCAAAATTGTTATACCTACCATCCATATAGCTGTGTAGAGCAGTTAACATAGTCCCATCCTGGGGTACGTACGCAGAGTATGCCATTTCTTCCAACATGGGTGGAGACAGCCTGGAGGGCTGAACTGCTGTGACAGGAGCAGTAGATGAATGATTAGGACTAACATGTTTCTTATGGCGTGCTCTGCAATTTTGAAACCACACCTGAAAAGGGGGAAAATTTACATCATGTTGATAGATTGCATTCTGTTTCAACATTAGCATAATAAAAACCTCAGAGCTCTAACTTCAGCTGAATGCAGTTAGTTAGTTGGGCCTTTAACATAAGACTGACAGTCCAAAGGAAGAAGTATTCATTCTAAGCCTACATGGTGCCTCAAACAAACGTGGTCAAGTCGGGAAAGCGTCTGCGGTGACCAGCAGCCCACAAAGGGCAGGCACGGTGAGGGGCTGCACAGCTCCCGGGGCAGGCGTCCCGCCAGGCTGAGCAACAGCATCCGCAGCCCCGCACCGCTGCTTAGACCGCTGCCCCAGGCACGCAATGGGACACAGCCATCTCCGTGCCTGGATGCTACTGACAGCGAAGCAGGTTTTTCACAGGATACCCATTTTCCTTTTCACAGTGAGAAGTGCGCAAGCTTCCACTTTTTTAAGGCTTCATCACAGCTGCCAGATACCTCGTTTCTATAGAAACACTGTCAATTCTCCAGGCTAGAACGAGCCAAGGGAACTGCAAGCTTATTTTTATTTATATAAACATATAAGTGTATAATTTATATTCTATAAAAATCATATTTATGTATAAAAAGAGCATGCATATTATGTTTGCTGAGAGGCATCTTCAATAAAGATTCTAAGTTTGTGTTTCTCTCAGTTTTGGATGGCATGGGTATACATTTTAACTTTGCTCTATGGAACACATCACTAGATATTCACTCACTCCTGATGTGTCATACCACAAAGCATTTTCAAAAAGAGTGCAGGTCTTAAGAACAGACTATTAAAGTCAGAAATTTATATTTAGAAGAGTGCCAATTTCTATACTACTTAGGGCTGAGAAGTTTCTTCCTGGAAGATTATTAATCCTCCACACAAAGTGCAAGAGGAATACAGCGTTTTCCAAATTAACATGTTTGTTCTAGACCTATTCCTGACTAAGGATGTTGTCTGAAGTTATGTTAAAACTGCCAGGTTAGACCTTTTTCCATCTCAGAATAACTACATGGAGAAAATTGTCATTAAGCATTTCCAATGGATGGGTACCAGACTTTGTTAGTCAAGTAACTTAGCACAGTTACCTGTATAACACGCCTGCTCAAGCCTGTTCTTTCTGCCAGTTTCTGAAGCGTTTGTGCATCTGGATTGTTGTCCTGAGCAAACTGCGCTTGCATAACCTGAAAAGGCAAAATAAGAGATTGCAGTTTTTTGTGTGCAGTCCCGAGAGCAGCATTAGAGACTCCTCTCAGACTGTGGTCCTACTCCTTGCCTGTTTTTAGGAAACTGTTGAAATCACTAGTCCCCAGACAGCCCCCAAAACACTGGGGGGGGGGGGCAGGGAGGAGGAATCCCCCAAAGTCAAAATACAAGCCCCTTATTATGCTTAACTGAACTGAGACATTTACCAGAAATGAAAGAAATGAATTCTGCTTGGCAGTAGTAAAAAAAGGAGGAGGTGCTCTGTTATGATTGCATTAAAAGGACTGTGAAGGAGAAAAATTCCCTGCAAAACAATTCCAACATGCTTGATAAAGAAAACTTCTATAGCAGCAGACCACAGTGCACAGCATAAGGAAGGCATGAACATCGATCCACCTCTCTGAACTTGTCAGTCACTATCTGCATCTTGCATTATACCAAGTAACTTAAGCCCCTTTTCAGCTGCATGGAGGATGCAGGCAACTGGGAAGCACTTTGTGCCTCATTTACCTTTAACTGACCCGAGGAACACAGAGGCTCCACCTTGGCTGATCTGCACTATGTAATTGTTTGGTTACACTCATCTTTTTTTACAGAAAATTGAAGTGAACACATATCATTAGGATATGAATTGCATTTTTTTGAGGAAGTAGATGTCAACTTGGCCTGCATCCTGAACAGTTTTAGAGCCTGTAAGAGTTTACGCTATTTAAGGAAGTAAGGCTTCATGGATTTCTGCAGGGTATCTTCAGTAAACTGGTTTCTCATTCCTGGATTTTGTCCCTTGATGGTCTGCAAATTTTGCCTGGCTTCATCTTTGAAGATTCAGACTACTCTCCACACTCAGAAACACTGAAACTATTTACTTTCCTACTGTTTCATACAAAGATATCAAAAAGGGTGGACATCCTTTTGTATAACTGCTTCACAAGGTGTGTTACTACATGCTGCCACTCTGACAGTCACTTATCCCTCTGATGCTTCTCTTGCTGGAAGTCTTATACCAGCATCGAGGACAAGTATAGAGACAGATGCACTGAGCAGATAGTAAGTGTCATTAAATAACAAGAGGCCCTAAGATCTCAAACACCTGCTGAAGTAGGTTACAATCTATTTAAAACAGGAAAAGAGGGGGACATGGAAGTTTCATTGGCAGCAAACAGGCAGCAGCCCTGAATACAGTTCCTACTCTGATGGCTGGGCCTATCTCCTGTTCAGCTACTGCTGGAAAAAGAAAGTTCCCTTTCGCAGAAGTTCAAGCTTGATGTCTGCAGCCCTTGCCCTATACCCTTGTCATATTATTGCTAACATGCTTGTTTTGTATTAACCACACATTCTGTCTCCAGTCATGGCTGAAATAACAAACCAAGCTTTGAACAGCCACATGCCACATTATATAGCACTGCTTAAATGTCTCACATGTGTTATTACACCTCAGCTTCCGTTTTTTTCAACTGCTTTCATGATGAACAAGAAGAGGACAGGCCAACAAAACAGAACTCAGACTGAGACAGTAGAAAACAAATGGTGTAGAGGCCACGTGTGATCAGAAATTCAAAGACATTATAAACTGAGAGCAGGGATGCGTAGCTAGGATTAGGTAGAAAGCTGCAGCTTCCTTCCCAGTACAAGTTCAAACCTCCAAACCTGGTCTCACCACTACCCCTTTCATGGGGAGTTGGCCCTAGTCATGGTGTTTTTCCCTAGAAACCTAACTTAAGGGAAGCAGTGATCCAAAAATAACTCATATTTGAGGCAGTCCAGAGTTAACTCTTGCCAAGGTAGCAACAAGACAAGAAGCCTTGAAAGCAGAGCAGATGCAGGCAATCCCCCTCCCTCCTCCTTCAGGGCAGGCTTGACCCTACAGGAGGGGTTTCAATTTGGTACTTCCAGACTCCCTAGCTCCCGCTTCCCTTAGTCCTGACCACAGAAAGGAATAGAACTAGTGGCTGAGCTAGTATAAAGGGATATTGGAAAAACATACTTCAGTAACACGTGTACAAGAACAAATTGGACAGTACAAGAATTGTTGCCAAGTACTTCAAATGCACTTTCCCTGTATTTCACTCCACTCAGCTCTATGAATAAAGTGGGTTTTTTTTCTCTAAAACATGCAGCATTAAATACGAAGCTAGGTCTTGAAATATGACACCAAGACTATAATGACTTTAGTATATTTTTAACAGGCAAAGCTCAAAGCCACTTTGAGGAAATCAGCATGTGAAGCATTTTCAAAGGGCTGGGAGAAGGAGAAGAGAAGGAAGGAAAGTAAAGATGAGTCCCTGTTGATACACTGTACACTCTTCCTGGTGTACAGAAGTATAGCCAAGACTATAACATATGATCTAAAAAGCAAGTATTGAGAAGAACCGTCTTAGGAAGAAAAAGGGCAATCAAGAAATAAATGCGCAACTATTCCCCATCTTCTCTATAAACCAAAGCAAAACAAGAAACTATCACTGACAGGAATCAACCTGTGTTTGAGTGAATATAAACAGGAACCCACGATACTTACCTGTTTTGAGGACACAATCTTTTTCAGCCCTTATTGTGCATTACAACAAAATTGAAACTTCCATCCTGTTAATGTCTTGAAGTCATATACAGTACCCATCTTTAGTACAACTCTTCACATTACATAATTCTAAAAATATTTTGTCTTTATTACATGTAGTGATATAAATGCCTGATTAAATAGATTTCATCGAGCAATCAAAATAGAACAACCTTTTTGTTTCCACCCTGCAGAATTACTGCCTGCCCCCAGGGAAATAAAAAGCTTGAAGAGTAACTATTTCATATTAAACTGCTGAAGCTAACAAACAATTCCAGAAACATGCTGTGTCTTGATAGTTTATGAAATAGTTTAAAGCATGCAAGCTTTTTCTTTCCCCCCATACGCATCCGATTTCCTATCGGGTCAGCACCTATGTCCCGCATCAACCTGAACTACACCAGTTAAAAAAAAAGTTCAGCACCTATGTCCCGCATAAACCTGAACTACACAAGTTTTTAGCACTGCCTCTACCTGGAGTTGATCTGCTGTGAAGCTGGTCCGAGCTCTTTTTGCTGGTTTTGGATGATTAACATCTTGTTCTGTTAGTAACGCTCCTTCCACACTAATCCCATTACCTGAAGTATTAAAAAGAAAACAACACCGTCTGCTAAACGTTCAACACTATGTTAGTCACAAGTCAGACTGTCCTCTGACAATAACCAACAGTACTTGGCCAGCTGAATTTCAACTTTAAAAAAACCATATTCTGTTCAAAGTTAAATTGATCTGGCACCATCACCCGTTACACCCCAACTAACTCCCTCATAAGTGAGGGAAGGAATAGATCCAGCATGATATTTTATCAACTAGATACACTCTTGCTTTCTTTTCCTTAGCATAGAAAAGAAGTTATACAAACTTAAAAAAAATAAAACATCAAATAATTTGCACATTATTTTAATTCAAGAACCTGTGCTTCCAGCCTTAGTAAAGCTAGGTAATTACCTCTTCATAAGGAAGATGAAGTAAAACCCAACAATTTACTTAAAACTAAACCACAAACATAGTTCTTAACAAAAGCAGCATGTTACCATTTTCAACTTCTCTTTTCAGATTGTCCAACATGCAGTCGTAATGTACTCTACAAAGGACTTTCTCTTCAACCAAAGCAAACTCCTCTCCAGTAGAAAGCTGTCTTTTGCAGGAGAAGCACGCAAAGCATGCCAAGTGGTATACATTTCCTTTAGCCCTTCGGACCCAGTCAGTAGAATGAATGTGCCTCCCGCAGCGGGAACAGCGGGTGCCATACCGCCTGCAAAAACAAAGGCAACAGGAGGGTGAAGGCACAGCCGCTAACCATCTCGGGCAAAAGGGTGACTCCCTTTTGGAAGGATTAGAAGCAACCACCAGGACATGGCAGCGCAGCTCAGACCTCCAGCAAGTAGGCGGACCACAAGGGATGAGGGGACAGCACAATTGTGTTTTTATTGCAACAAACTCAGCAAAGTTTGTATTGGATAGCTTAAGGCAAGATCACTACTGAACTACAGATTTAATATTTTCATAAGGCAAAGAATAAAACTGAAACATCTTAACTATGTGAATTCACAACTCTTCAGCTTTCCTTTTATAAAGATAATTACTCTTTAAAAAGCTGTGAGTGGGAGATGGAAACAGCTGACTGTGTTCAGAATTCTCCCAATTATTCAAATATATTTCATGTTACACTAGTGGTAGTCTGAATTATTATATTTAGCTACATCATCCTTCACTAATCATTCAGTCCCCTTGAGCTGAAGGGGGAAAACCTGTATCTTCAGAGTTATTTCCTTAATTACCATCACATTATTATTTTAAATGAAATTCAAATATCTGCAAGTATTTACATTACTACAGTAGAATATTTCTCTTTGAAGAGGAAACTAGCCACCAAGATATGTTGATTATGTAGATAAGAATTTGTCCTGAAGATCTTTGCAGACTCATAAGTTGGTTTGTGGGGGTTTTTTGGGTTGTTTGAGGGGTTTTTTTTGGTTTTGTTTTTTTTTGTGGGTGGTGTTTTTTTGTTGTTTGTTGGGGGTTGGGTGGTTTTTTGGGTTTTGTTTGTTTGTTTAAGTCCCACAAAATTTTGATTTTCCAGAAGTTCACAGTATTCAGCTTGCCCCCTTCCTCTCTTTCAGTGTCAAAACTGACTAGCTGGACATAATCCATTCACCACACAGTGAGAATCCCATAAATAGTTTGGTCTGGGGAAGTTCTAGCAATCACACTAGAATTAACTGCAAAAATTTTTTGCTACTTTCTGGACCAAAGATTTTGTATGAGTACTTTTAATGCCAGCATGAATAAATAACATTCTTCCTTACAGGACTAGACCTTAAGCTTAAAGAATGCTTCATGTTCTAAATCAAATTGATCACAGAAAGGTATAACTGCTGGAAGCTTCTTTTAAAGATCACAGGATTTATTCTGGGTTGTTTTTGCAGTTCCTTGTGATACCTTAAGTCTCATACCAGTGAGTGCTAGTCCAAACAGAAGATCATCTCAACTCTACCTTGTATTCTCAATCGGCATCACCTAAAGATGATTCTTTGCACATACAATAGCTTTACAGCCTTACTGCGGCGCGGACTCTGACTTTTCCCATCCCCCACCCCATGCACACAGCCGTAAATTATTGTATAAATGCAGTAGCTGTGCATTAGCTATGCAGTAGCTAACGGAGGAGCAGACTTAGTAGGCAATTACATTAGACAGACTTGGGGTTTCCCAAGTCCCTCTGCAAGAAATGTCAGTTTAATTACTGAAAATAAACCTAGCAAGCAAAAACCACAGAGCCTAAATGCACATTTTAGTTGCAGCTTAAGCTAAAAGTAACAAGCAAGTATAACATGTTATCTAATGAAATGATATTCCAGTATGATATACCTGAAATAATCAAGTTTGCAGAAGATATCTTTATCTTTGATGTAACAGCTGGTATGCCTTCCTAGAGATGTTCTGCAAACACTGCATGAGAGACAGCGCACATGCCAGCAGAGGTCGTTTACCTGCAAAAACACAAAAGAAAAATACTCCTCAACGTTTATGCTACCAATATTGTATTTCATATTTACAAAAATTATTTTTTCCATCCATACCGACAAGGCCAAAAATTACATGTACCGTGATTGACAGAAATTTTATCTTCAAGGCAGAACATTTTTCCTATAGAACTGCATCCATATTAAGAGTTAATTAATTTGATATAGTCTTCAGAATAAGCTTTCATGGTTTTGTAGTTAAAAGCACCAGAAGAGGAAGCAAAAGATTCAAGTTCCACGTAGATATTTTGTGCCCAGTTCTGTTCTCATAGCATTAGAGTAACAGAGCAAGTTTTGGCCTCACATGACCTTGGGAAGGCAGCTAGCTTACATACTTTTATTTCCCAGTCTGTAAAAAGTCCTGCCTAACAGAACAAACTTTGCAAAGCGATTTGAAATTTTAAAATGCAAGTACTGAAGGGGAAAAAAAAACCCCAAAACTCTGTCAAATAGAAACACACCATGAACCACATCTTCATTTGCCAGGTTTCTGTTAAAGCAAACTTAGTGAACAGAGTATGAGTTTCAAAATATCAGCAGTTGTTTTAATAACAAATTCAACAATTCTTTAACATGTAATATCCATAGTGAAACTAGACATAGTCATGGGAAGCAGTAGAAATAAGCAGTTTTGAAAACTCGCATATGATTTTTGGGCAAATAAATTGAGTGCAATTATTTTCATTTCTTCTTTCCTATAAAGAGAACTCTTTGTAGTGCAGACATTGTGCGTCACACATCAGCTAAATAACTTAAATAATTTGAAAACCCAAGACTCCCAGTGACCATAAAAATTAAGTAATAACCCTCTGGATAATCCCATGCTGCATAGGAGGAATTCTGTAAAACAAACAATGACTAAGTTTAGATTATTTTTTTTTTTTTAATTTTCTGAGCCAATTTCTCATCTTATACCAAACAGCCCATATATTGCCTATGGCAAAGCAGCAGATTTGAGATAACGCAGGATGTGCGTTTCATCAGAACCCTGCCAGACAAACCACAGAGAAAGTGAGGTATTGACTCCAACACTCATGCTGGAATCACCCGTTTCAGTCATTCTTCAGGTTGTAACATTAGAGTTTGCAGTTGTCCAACGCTCTCCCGACTATTATCCTTGTTGGCAGCCATCTTCCCATACACTGACAAATTTACACTGCAATATAATGTGAAGCTGTTGATAACAGCTGTCACCAAATTGATCCTCCCAAGTATTTCTTAAAACGGCTGCACTGCAGGCAGACACAGGGCAGCAGCGCTTGGGCCAGACCAAGCCTGCTCCGTGGTCCCCCCGCGCGAAGGCTGCCCAGGCGACCCCCGCGGGGACCCCTGCCAGGAGCCCCACCGCAGGCGAGAGGAGCCCGCACGCAGCCAAGCTGCTGGCGCGCGGCCCTGCAAAGCGTGAGCTGACATCCCAGCCACGCAAAGCTCATCTCGCTGCCTGTTCTTCGGAGGGTAATGCTCCTCCACAAAATAGGACATCGATAACTTTGATAGTTGTCCCATTTGATGTTACCTGTCTACCTTCTTATTAACTTACAGGGCTGAAGTTAGAAGACACACTGCTGATGATCAGCAAGATACCAGTTTACCAGCACAGATTCCTTTCTCTCTCTGCCTGTGCAGGAAGCAGTAATAGCTAATTTAAACTTAAATCTAAATCAATTAGGGGTCTTTTGCTCCAAGCCACATTACCCCAGTTCTTCAGACAGGAGACAGCAATGACCAGTAAATGAGCTACCAAAATGTCACTGGAACCAAGTTCAAGTTAGCTCTGCTCCCAGTCCTACCGCACTGTTCATGCGCAAGCCCAGCCCGTTGCAAAGGTGGCTGGGGTTTAGTAGAACAAAAGGTACATAGCAGCTCCCCCACACCTGCACCTACCCTATTTTAAATGAACACCAACCCAGCATACACCTTCCTTTGACCTTCTCACCCCAACTGAGATCTAAGCAAATGATCTAATAACAACATTGGGATGTTTTCAGTGGTGTTACTGACTTTCACTTTGCAGGATATACAATGGCTTTATTTAAGGCTGCATCTAATGGAATCAAATGACTTCTAGCACAATTGTCTAATCTCACTTTTGAAAGGAGAGGGGGCAAAAGTCTGATCCAGGATAATTTTAATGGCTATAATACAGAAGGAAAATAGCCCCCCCCAACCACATTGACACTTTATGTTTAAAGTCACATGGTTTTGTTTGTTTTTAAATGATTTTACACAGTCCTGAATGCTAAGGCTAGCAAAACTACTCTGCAAGCACACAGCTTGTTTCCTTCACAGATATTGCTAGACCATCTTTTACAAGAATAACTTATTTCCACATTTCTCAAGAGGCACTTTTTTGCTTTGAGATTCACGACATCACACCAGAAGACTTATGTTAGCTAATAACAAATGGGTCACGGCACCACCGCTTAGCCAGAAACATTAAGCGCAGCAAGGAAGTTACCTATGTTCTGAACCATTAGTTTTCTTCCCCGCTCTCTCCTACAGCACATCGAGAAAGTACGATCCCAGCACAGAAAAGCGTTACCCAAAACATAAGCAGCAATTCGTTTTTTCTGTAAGGCCCGAACCTTGCAGACAAGCACGCAACTAGCGTCATGCTCTCGCACACTCCCGGTTTCTGCAGTAGCTCCGCTCGCAAGCCCAAGGGCACGCCGTTGCGGGCGGAGAGGGGAGCAAGCCGCGACGATGGCACAGATGCCGACAGCTCCCGCAACGGCGGGGCGGGAAGGCGGTTCGGAGCGGCGCGCCGGGAGAAGGGGCAAGCTTCCTCGGGCCCGCTGAGCCCGGCTCCGT